TTGAACTTTGAATAGGGCACCAGGACAGGAACAAGACCTTAGATTGGATAGAATTTCTGCCTCTATTTAGTTTAGATAAGTACTTCCTTTGGGACTAAAAAGTTAGGAAGACCTAGGCCTTCCCTGGGTACTGGGATCCAATCCCATATCCTTCTTCTTCTTTTTTTTTAATCCTCGCCTGAGGACATTTTTCCATTTTTTTGTTCAGATAGAGTAGGAGGGGGAGAGAGAGAGAGAAACATCAACGTGAAAGGGACACATCCATCGAGTGGCTGCCTCCCGCACAACCCAACCAGGGCCGGGGACAAACTGCAACCGAAGTACATGCCCTTAGAGGGAACCGAACCCGGGTCTCTCTGGACCGCAGGCCAACACTCTAACCGCTGAGCCAAACTGGCCAAGGCCAATCCCCTATCCTTCTGACAAAAAGGCACTCATTATTATGCCTTTCTAGAAGGTCTTGACCAATCCCTGCCAGGATAGTTGATAGAAGCAATTTAATGGAAGACATAGGGAAAGAAGTGGTAACTTTTGCAGTGTTCAATGGGCCCTGGGATTAATGGGAGAGATTTACTGAGTAGGAAAGATAGGGCAGAAGCCAGTCAACACCTTCAACTTACAAACTTTGTTTAGCTCCCAAATTACCAAAGTCTTGAACTGAGAGTTCCACTATTTGGCTCAGCTCTTTCATTGTGTTGATCCAGTGATAACCAATGAGTCGCTGGCTTAAACGAGAGTCCTTCTACTTCTCCCACTCTCTCCCTTGTATTTCCCTAAGAGGCAAAGCATACTTATCTCTTATCAGGACGGCAGTACAAACTCCCTATTATTGACCTAGGAAAGATTGGAATGCCCTTTCACACCTTGTCTGCCTAGCAAACTCATAATGTATATTTTAAGGCCAACCTCAAATGTCATCTTCTCTGTGAAACTGCATAATTACTCTCTCACCCCAGCAGTATTCATCACTGCTCCCTCTGGGATCCAATATTACTGCCCTGGCCAGATTGGCTCAGACCAATGACCCACGGACCAATGAGTCAAGGGTTCAATTTCAGACCAGGGCACATACCTTGGTTGTTGTTCATCCCTGGTTGGGGTCGTGTGGGAGGCAACCAGTTGATGTGTCCCTCTCACATCGATGTTTCTCTCTCTCTACCTTTCTCTCCCTCCCACTCTATCTGAAGATAAACAGAAAAATATCCTTGGGTGAGAATTAAAAAAGAAAAAGAAAAAAAGAAAAAGACTGTATTACTTTCACAGCATTTATTACATCATAGGAGTGTAAACTAATCTCCAAAAGTGTGATTTTTTGTCATCTTGAACCTCCACAGCAGAGTACAATACCTCATCATTAGCAGGTGTTCACTAAAAGCTCCTTAAATTAAGGCCAATGCAATCCTGCTTCCCTCCTCCATTAACTCCTCCCCTTCATGCCATATGGATAGCTTCTTACTTAGTTCCATTTGGGAATGTTCTTAATCAGCCTCAGGGAACCAATTCTCTCGATGGCCTCTTTGTGACCTCCCTTGGATGGAGGGCCCCCTTGGGACCCAGCCCACAAGGTACTGTTGCAACTCATATGGGCTAACTGCTTTTCCTGTCACCCGTTACTATGCCTCAAATGGCCTAATCACACCCAATATGTGGTCCTCCCACCCTGACACTGAAGCAACTGTGGCTAAATACAAAGTTCCCTGAATTTTCAGTTGATGTTAATGTTCAAAAAACTTTGGGTCATTATCTCTATTAATTCTTGAACTTGAGAAACACAAATTTTAAAAAATAATCATACCACCACAGAGCTTGAGGACACTCTGAAAAAGTACCCGTGGTCCCTAAACAGAATACAACTTGGCTCAGAAATCTGCAGACTTTGCTCACCTGGGTGGCTCCTTACTCAGTTAAGTTACTGTTCAATGACTAAATCTTTCCTTCTTGGGAAGTGGGAGAGTATTGTGTAGGGTTTTAAGGTATCCTTCTTCCTAGAGGGCTATTGCATTTCCTTATTTTAAATTCATTGTTTTACACTTTGGTTACTTTCCAATCTGAAATGCCTTAGGAATAGGAGCTATACACTTGCTATTCCTACCCTTTGCCTCCTCAGAAGTCAATCCTTAAGGATACACACAATAGAAGAGCAATCTTTGCTCCTGGGCAAAGTAAAAGTTAGAAGATGTAAGGTATGACTTCAAGAGCAATGGGAAAGCCCTCTTCTCCAAGTAAGTTTTTGTAACTCAAGGTTTATGTTTGAAATTCTATATTGATAATTCCACTCCTTAGCTCCTTCTTATGAAACAAAAACCCTTGGAAAAATTAATAATTTAAGTGACTATTTGTTCCTTACACCTTAATATGAAGCAATTCCAGATCATTTCTTAAAAGATAGGTTTTGATTAAGGGGAAGGTAGAAAAGCCAAAAAAATATAAAGAAGGGGACAAGATATCACCATAACGTAGAAAATGGCAAAGTCTAGAGAGGATTAAAACACACTCTCCTACAATTTTCTCTAGGACTGGCGTTGCAGGAGAGAAAACAAAAGCTCCTGGGGGGACAATTGAGGTTTCCCTACAAAGGCTGGGCATATTATTGGGCTTCTAAAGCCAGTAAGGACAAACTCAATAAGGAGGTACTATGAAATGTCCCAGCTGTACTGAGGTTTAAAGGACAACTGATTTCAAATCTAGAGAAATGTGGGAGCCTCTCAAAGAAGACAGATACAAGAGACCCTTAGGAGAACCATCATCTTCTTTTGGAATAATGAAAGGACAGTCATATAATCTACACACGAAGAGGCCACGAACCAGAAGATAGAGGTCTCAAATTTCTCATGTTAGCAGAGATGCCAATAGTTCTCTCAAACAAAATGATTCACCTTAATGTTTCTTTCCTGCTCATACAGGAGAAAAAAGTTTGGCCACCTATTTGGACATTTTCTAGGATACTCAATGCACAACTGGAGTATGTGTTAAGAAGGTGAGGGATAACCCAGAGTACAACTCTTTGCTTGTCTGATTTTGATAGAAGCAAGACAAAAGGAAATGTGAAAGGAGCACAATAAATAATAGAGTATCACCCCAGAAGGGACACTGTGAAAAGAATGAGAGACCAGAGTTTGGTGGGAGCATTAAAACAGAATTGCCTTTGGTGGCACATCCCCCAAAGGAAAGCAAGATTAGTCTGATCTGCTGTCTCTTATCTCTGACCTTTCTGGATAAAATATAATGAGTGAGGTATGTGTGGGAGGATTTACACTTTTTATACTTCTGTACAGTTTGAATATTTAAAAATATGTACACATTACTTTGCCATTAAGAAGAAATGTAGTTATAAAATACATTGGCATAAAAGTTGGAAAAAGGAGGAAGTATAATAAAGGAAAATCCAATAAGCTCCAGCCTATGGGAGACTAAGGAGATGAGAAGACCATTAAAAATATATAGGAGGAGCCCTGGCCGGTGCTCAGTGGTTAGAGCAATGGCTAGGAGGAGCCCTGGCTGGTGCTCAGTGGTTAAAGCAATGGCCAGCAGACCAGAGTCCTAGCTTCAATTCCCGGCCCTAGAGGGTCATGCGGGAGGTGACCAATCAATGTGTCTATCTCTCACTGATGTTTCTCTATCTTTCCCTCCTTCTTTTCCAGTCTATCTAAAAAAAATGGGAAAATGTCCTCAGGTAAGGATAAAAAATAAATATAGAGAGAGGGGATTCCTATGCCATCTTCCTTTTCTCTACTCACCCTTTTCCCAGGTGCCTTACTATTTGCTATTTCTAATAGCACAGAAACCTGGGCTCCTGAAGTCAACAAAGAATGGGTGATGCCAACCTTGTGGAATGCAATTTCTCTTCCCCAAATCCCTTCCTCAGTGATATCACTTCATATTTCCAGGCTTGGTTCCATCTGAGTATTACCTGCCTGGGAAATACCCAAGTATAAGTCCTACAAAGTTTCACCAACTATGGTTGGGAGATATCTTGGTGGCTGGGGAGTCCCTAAATCCCTTTCCAGAGCGGATGAGATTGCTGATTCTCCACTTCACATTAGAGATGTGGTATCCACTACAGACCACATTAAGTGGAAAAAAACATCCCCCAAATCCAACTTCTTAGCTCTGGTACAGGACTGCACCCTAAATCAGCTGAGGCTGGTACGAAGAAACAGAGACTGCACCTTCCAGCTGAGGCCAAGGGAAGAGTAGGGTCTGCATTTGGAACAGCCAACAGCTTCAGAGAAAAAAAAATTACGTTTTCATTGGCTATCCTGGGAATACCAAAAACTTCAAATTACCACATCTCAGCACTTAATGGGAACAAAAGAGTGGGTCCTCCCAAGCTCCAGAGCCTCTAGACCACCGTGGAGCATTCCCAGAAGCTCCAATAACTGATACCGGGCCCTACTTCCATTTCCCCAACTACCTTTAGCCTTCTAGATTAGGAAAGCTTTTTCGTTTGTCTCACTGAACCCAAACCCTTCTCTCGGCTCAACTCTGGGGGCACCCTAGTTATTTTTATAATTGTCACTTTACCTGAAAAAGAATGCCTCTGATCCAACTAAGAACCCTTCTCGGGCCCTTCCAATTACACACCTCGAGAGCGCCAGCCCCGGTTATCCTCGGGGCCCGGGAGCTGGGGCTGACCCCTCCTCACCTTCCCGCTGAGGGGCTTACCTCACCCGCTGCCCCAGCCCTTTCCCCCAGCTCCTCCCTCTCAGCGCTGCTCAATGAGGCCTGCCCCTGCCCTCACACAGACCTGGGCCTCGCGCGCCGCCCCCAGCCCGGCCGCCGGCTGAACCTAGCCTCACCAACTTCGGGCTCCTAGCCCTCCTGGCCCCCTCCTCAGCGCCCCCATTAGGCCTGCCGCGGCCCGGCCCCCTTCTCCCCTCTCCAGTGGGCCACTCTGACCCCATCGCTGAGACCCAGGCCCGCCTCTGCTCTCAGGCCAGGCTGCTCTCCTCTCCCGGGCACCTCCGCCTCTACCCTACTGGGCTCCATCAGCCCGGTACCTGGGGCTCCGTCTCCCCCGTCGGGCCCAAGCCTGTGTCGAACAGACAAACAGCCGCAGCTCAACCAAACCCTCCTGCCCCTTCTCCTCCTCCTCGCCTGGGGCGGGGGCCCCGGCCAATAGCAGGATTACGCCTACCATCAAGGGTGGGCTCTGTGTGCACTGCTCCGCCAATCCTCTGGAGATAGGCGGGCCTTTTGCGGCCCTGTCACCAACGGGGACGAGACAGGGACCGGACAGGCGTGTCCCCAGGCCAATATGAAAAGGGAAATCTTGAACATTGACGAGGTAAGAAGCCATTGACGGGGAGCTTTCCGAGACAGGGGGCGGTACAGTTTTAACAGGCGTATATACCAACCAATATATTCTCGAATCCCTCATGGCCCCGCCTTTTGACTCATAAACATCTAATCAGGTGAGTGACGGAGGCGGGCCAAAGTGAAACTTTAACCAGTACTGCGAAAATTCGGAACTTGAATGGCAGGCAAGGCGGGGTTGAAGGGAGATTAGGAAGGCAGCTACTGACCTTCGCCCCTCCCCCCGGATTTGGCAGGGGATGACTCTAGCTCCCCTCCCTCTATGACCAATTCCCGGGCGTAAAGGGAAATGACTCTTAGGGACTAGGAACCTGGGAATTTAAGTAGCCCTCAAGTCACTGCATCTTCCTTTTAGTGGGGCCGCAGAGTACAGGAGATTTTGGGGTGGGCGGTCTGAGATGTTTTTCGGTGGGGGTGAGACAATGGCAATTCCAACAACGGGTAGCTTGGGGAGGCTTTAGCCCCTTCATAATTTTTCTTCCAGAATTGACAATATTATGAATCGTATCATTAAGGTGAATAAAGTATCGTTAGAAAACTTTGCTGTTTGTGATAGGTAACAAAAAGGAAGAATGAGCTTACTGAGAAATGCAGTGTCGAGGTGAATTCCAAGGAGCCCACTTCCAACCTCATTGCTGCTCCTAAGAAATTCTGGAACTGCCACCTCCAGAGTATGTGTCTATGGTCTGTGTGTGTGTTGGGAGTGGGGGAGATGCAGATTTGTAAGGAAAGCAGAAAATACTAAGGCTTCAGTTTCTCCCACTGTAAAATAGGGTAGTAATTCCCACTTTGCCCACCCTCCGTACTATCCCAATTTCATCACAGAAGTCAAAATGAGGTGATTTTTGATTACCAAAAGTGAGGGCCTGAAACTAATTATCATATATACACATTAATATTCTCTCACACCCTTCTTTCAATAAATAAGTACACAAAAGTAAAGGAGGAAAGATAAACTATAAAACTAGGAACTTTTTTAATGAATTACAAACTAAATTACAAATAATGTTAATAGCAAGAACACTCAAGGACAAGAGGTAAGAGAAAAGAGACAATCATAAAAAGAAAAACAATACTCTTTTTTAAACATTTGCATTACAAAAACCCAAGGTGTGCATGGCAACAAATCCACCCACTCCCACTAAAAACTCCTATAACCTGAAATATAAATATAATTGTTCATCCTTCTTTTAAAGAAATATTTCCCCCTATGCTCCCACTCAGTCACAGCCCTAAAAAAAGTGTCAGCATTCTAAACTTTACTTCCACTCCTATGAGGGTGGCTTTCAGAGAAAGATGTGCCCTGGCACCTGAAGAACTAAGAATCTTAAAAGAAAAATCCAAAAATCTTCACTTGCCTTATAAGGCTGCGGTGAAGCACAATCCCTGTCCCAGAGCTTCCCAGACACCTATTGCTTATGGGAGGGCCAGACAAGGGCACTAGGGGCAATCATTTATACTGCAGCCCCAACAGGATTGTAGAGGCTGGGAGTCTTGAGACTCTCAGACTGTTAGGTGAGCTCAAACACTAAAAGTAGGGTATAAACTGGTTGGATCTATTTTTTAACCTAATTCTCCAAAAGGCCACTCCCTATGTTTTTGTTTTGCTTGGTTTTCAAAATTCCAGTTTACCCCCATTTATCAGGTGGCCTAACAAACACAGAGGCAGCAGGAGGTTTGGGGCCTCTGTCATCCCAAACACAGGAAATAGTAATTGGGCTTTCAGAGATTGGGATGGCAAATCCTATGTGGGGGGTGGGGAAAGTCTTTTTTTTAAAAAGTACTAGTCCTCCTTAGCAATGACTTAGAGGAGAGGTGGTAGAGGCTGACTTAAGTGCATCTAATACTGAAGCTTCCTTTCATTTTTACCCATTTTTCCCCTCCACACCCCTGTATCCCCAGAGTTGGCTGGCTAAGAGAGGAAGGTGAGTGAGTGTTAAGGCAGCCAGACAAGACCAGAGGGCATCCAGAGCCAAGGGCCAAGCCAGATCAGGCCCCCACTGGAGGAGAGATGAGACTGGGGGCTTGGAGAAAGACATCAGAGTCGAAGGTGGGGTACTGGCTTGGTCACATCCTGGAAGAAAGGGTGAGTCAGAGCTGCCTTTGCTGAAATCCGTTTGTTGGGGTCGTAGTGCAGCATTTGCTGGAAGGAGAGATGTATACTGACTTCAGTGATGTGATAGTGGATTAAATGGGCATCAAGTATTCCAAGAAATTGGGAAACTAGAATTCATTTTACCCAAGGCAGAGTTCCCATTTCCCTATTCCCTATATCTGTCTGTTTAGTTGGTATGCCAACAGGGAGACAGAAGCAGGAGCTAGGGAAACACTGAGACCAAGTCCAGGGTCTCATCCTTCCTTCATTCAGGAGAAACCCTGCCCTAGGGAGTCAATGAAAGGAAAGGGGAGCCCACCCCCAACTCTCACCGATAACAAGCTCCGTCCATCTTCATCCAAGGGAGGCACAACTTTGCTAAAATCTTGCCGGGCCCACTTGGGGAAACTTGGCTTATAATCAGGCATAGAAGTAACTCCTGGCCAAACCACTTCATCTGGTGTCCCCAGAGTCCGAAAGATTCGGAAGAGCTGGTCAATCTCAGAATCTCCAGGGAATAGGGCCCGGCGAGTCACCTGAAAATGGGGAAAGAGGAAAGGCCCAGACCCGAAGTAACGTCAGTCAAAACTACCCCCTGTACAGTGGAGGTTCCCACAGGCAGTGGAAGGTTGGTAGGGCCCCATGACTCCCTCCCCAGGGCCTTTCATGGGGTCAGTCACACAGAACCTGAGACAATGAAGTCCCTTCATCTGTCTCCTTGCCCCCTCCTCCTTCCTTCCCCCAACCATGGCTTTGTAGATCCCCAAGGCTGGGTGGGGCTGGGAGGGGGTGAATGTCTGGGGTGCCACTGATATGTAGCAAAGGGATCCCAAGCCACTCACGGGGTGTGGGGTAGACACTGCGGTCATCCCCCCTCCTTGTGATGCAGCCACTTCTAGATAGGAGCACAGCGGGCAGAGACTGTGTCTTCCATTTCTTCTGTGTTCCCCACAGCACTTAGCATGGTGCTGGGTACACACTAGGTGCTTAACAAATATTTTTTGATGAATTGAGAGAGGAATATGGGCAATTGTAAGGTAATGCACTGGGGGATAAATGCACTATATATATATATATATATTTCTTTTTTATATGGGCTAATGGTCTCCAAGCCCCAGTTATAACCCAGATAAAGGACCATAAAAAATACTGCTGATTTGATTTAAAAACTCAGCCCACTCCGTTATTGTATTAAATGGGATGAGAGTTCACATATTAACGCTGGGCCTCTCAGGGATCCTTCAGTCTGAAAAGCCGGAGATTGGGTGGGGACAAGATCTAAGTTTGCAGTTTAAGTAAAAAATGTGGATAAACTAACCACAGGTGGCTTCACTGCATTACTCACACCCTATATAAGGTCTCCAGGCCAAATGAAAGGAAGCACTAAATGGAACTCATTCTACCAAATATATGCAGACTAAGGGTAAACAGCTACAGAAATTATTTAGCTCAGTTTGGGGATAAGAGATGTACAAGAATGTTAAGGCTATTTGAGAATATCCTAACATTGTGGTTGACATCAGGGACAATGGTCCTATCCTTTCCGCACCACCCCTGTAGGTGCTACTCTGGAGAAAGAACTCTGTGATAATAGAAGGGCCATGGGGTCTGAGCCAAGAAATAGTTCTGTTGCTCTTAAATATTGGGAGGAGTGGAACTCAGCAGGTTTCTGTACCATCTCAGCAAAGATGCAGCCCAGGCTCCAGATGTCCACAGCTGTGGAGTAGTATTTGCAGCCCAGAAGGATTTCAGGTGCTCGGTACCATAGGGTCACCACCTGGGGACAAAAATAGGAAAGGGAGGGGCGGTATATGGGGCATGGAAGTTCCATCTCAGCTCCCCAACACTACTTTGGTAACTCCCCACCTCTAAACAAGCAGCTCCTTTCGCTCTATCCTTCCCTTCCCTCTGATTTCCTCTAAGCAAAATGACTACATACAACTTCTTAGCCCAGAATGAGCCTAGCCCATGACTCTGGGACCATATTTTCTGAACACCCAATATGTGTCCCTCATGGAAAACTTGAGACAATTTTTTTTTTTAATTTTTCTTCTTTATTGATTTTTTCTTTTTAAAGAGAGAAAGGGAGAAGGAGAGATAGAAACATCGATGAGAGAGAACATCGACTGGCCACCTCCTGCATGCCCCCAACTTGGGATTGGGCCAACAACCTGGGCATTTGCCCTGACTGGGAATCAAACTGGCAACCGCTTGGTGCATGGGTCTACGCTAAACCACTGAGTCACACTGGCTGGACAAAAGTGGTCATAATTGTATTTTTTTTCCTTCTTCTTCTTCTTCTTTTTTTTTTTTTGTGGTATGTGCCCCTAGCAGGAACTGAACCCAGGACTCTCTGGCCCGCAGGTCGACACTTAACTGCTGAGCCAAACTGGCCAGGACAGTGGTCATAATTTTAAAGGTGTGCCACCCAGCTCTCCTGGCTTGGTGTCTATCAAAGCCCAGTTAGCCCTGCAGTATGAATTCTGTGAATACTCTAAGACCTCTTGAGGTGTCAGAAATACTTTCCCTCTAGTGAGAGAAAATTGCTGTCCAAATATTTTTAGTAACTTTGTGAATGTCCTTGTTAAAACCTCCCAGGAAGTTCAGAGAAGAAATGCAGAGACAGCCCTGGCCAGATTGGCTAAGCAGTTAAGAGTCATGGGTTTGATTCCAGTCAAGGGCACATACCTTGGTTTCGGTTCAATCCCTAGCCCTGGTTGGGGTCATGCAGGAAGCAACCAATTGATGTGTCCCTCTCACATTGATGTTTCTCTCTCTCTCCCTCCCTCCCTCCCTCCCACTCTATCTGAAAATCAATGGAAAAGTATCCTCAGGCAAGGATTTTAAAAAAAAGAAATGCACAGAGGGACTGACCTCATGAGTGTAAGTACGAACAGGGACTCCAAAGGCTCTGGCTAGTCCAAAGTCTGCTAGCTTGATGGCCCCCTCTGCGTTGATAAGCAGATTCTGAGGTTTGAGGTCTCGGTGCAGGACCCGATGAGAATGGCAGAAAGCTAGGCCCTGGAGCAGCTGGAACAGATAGCTCTGACAATGGAAAGAGACAGGATTGTGTTTATCACCTCCAAAGCTCTACTAAAGCCTTTACTAAGTTAGATTATAATGTTTATAAGCTATTTCTCCTATAAGATTGTCAGCCCAGTGAGGACAGGGTCCAGGTCTTACTCAGTTTTGCATCTCTTTTCCATATCCTGTGCCTAGCACATTGAAGGTGTTCAATAAGTGTGTATTGAATAAATATTTGTTGATAGATTGAAAGTAGCTTGGGGAGTAAACAACCTAGCTCTAAAACAGGCAACAGAGACTCACTGGCTATTTCTCCCACCAAACAGGTAAAAGGGCTTTTTTGGAGGAATGTACCAAGTGCCCTCAAGTCCCATTTATCTGAGTTTCATCTGACCTTCTACCTGAGCTGTTATGTTGACTCACTAGAGTTTCAACTTTTATTCTCCTACCCAGCCCTAGGGTTAATAAGCATAATGAGCAGTGAAAGAGCCACAAAAGAAAGGTGTGTGTGTGTGTGTGTGTGTGTGTGTGTGTGTGTGTGTAGGGAGATGAGGGCTGGGAAGGGCACCAAGATCACAAATCATCACTCAGTCTGATTTGTATGCCTTCAGCCCCCACAAGACATTATCATGTTGGGGAGCAGTTGATGAGGATTACCTTGATGAGGGGAAGAGGAATGCCAGTAAGAGCTGAAGCATCCATGAATTTCTTGAGATCTTGGTGCAGAAACTCAAAAACCAGGTAGAGTTTGTTTTCTGTGTGGATGACATCCAGCAGCCTAGGGAAAGGAGATCCAGGAATGGAGGTAAGGGAGAGATATGGCAGACAGAAGGCATCCTCCTTACTGTCAAGCCCCTCCCAAATACATACTTACTTGACAATATTAGGGTGGTTAAGTTCCTTAAGCAGAGAGATCTCTCGAATGGCAGTACTGGGTACACCCTCTGTCTCACTTGGAGAGATTGGAAAACAGAGATGGGGATGTGGTTACAAATATTCCTTTTTCCCCAGCCCAGTTATTATTCTTTCCCCCTAGAAGGGGATACCACCCAGCATCCCCTAGGAAAGAGAGAGAAGAGAAAGTATACTGTAGGAGTTCATTCACAGGTGGACAAAGAGTGGCTTTTGGACATATTAAGGTCATTATTTCTTTTTATCCTAAAGGTAGTAAGTAAAGTTTCCCGGTGAAGAGGGAGAGAAGTAATAGGAAAAAAAAGAAAAGGGAGTAACAGCACCCAGCCTCCCTAGAGGGGCCAGTGAAGTTCAACTGCCATTCTTTTGAAAGAGGGAGAGAATTCTAAGACGAGGGTGGGGCTGGGGCAGTGAAAAGGGCTCTATATTCAGGAAGGTGCTCTTCACCGGTTCCCATAAAACCCAACTCCACAGGGAGTACTGGAGCTCAACTCTGAGGCCTCCTTCCTCTTCCTGTGTCTTCCTGACTGCACATTTGGGGGCATCACCAGGCTCTGGGGAGCAAGTTTCCCACGGATTCGACATTACCCTATAGTTTCTAGAGGAAAACCCTCTACAGTTCTCCAACCCACTTCTCCACTTCAAAATAAGTCCCTCCTTGCTACTTTCCGGTCCCTAGACAGCCACCCGCCTGTTGGAGTGGGGGTGGGGGGCACTCAAGGAGTTCCTGAGTTAGGAGTCCCGGTACAGAGGCCACTCACGTGTCCAAGCGGATTTTTTTAAGCGCCACCACTTCTCCGGTCAACTTGTTTTTGGCTTTGTACACAACTCCGTACGTGCCCTCTCCGATCTTTTCTACTTTTTGGAAGTTCTCCATGAAGCGCTAGAGAGTCGGGTCAGCCCGGCCCAGGAGCGGGGGCCTGGGAACCCTGCAGAAAGCCGGCCCCGGTTCTCGGGGGCGGAGGAGGGGGAAGCAGGGCCTAGCACCGCGGCCCCAGGTCCGGATGGAACGCAGTGTTATCTCTCGCTCTTGTCAATTTGTCCAACTTGAAACAATGTTGCCGCCTCCCCCTAGTTCCCTACCACCACCAGAAGCCCCGCCTCTCCTTCCCGCGTTTCCCTGGCCCCGCCCCCAGACCTTTCTATTGGTTTACGTCAGAGAGGGAGGGGCGAACCAGCGCCCCTCGCGGCAAATGATCCTTCCCCTCGCAAGTTTGGTTCCGAAGAGGGATTAAGACAAGTTTTTACCTCGGTGGGGAGGTCGAACACCTTTTTCCAAGTACCTAATTTGCACGTGAATTTCCTACCTGTGTCCTGAGTCTGTAGGGATTTTCTGACTTCGCTGTTTTCACAACCCTTAGGGAAAATGTTTATCGATAAGATTAAATTCCACCTGGGCGGAGTGGGGGGGGGGGGCTCCTTTGAAAAGTAGCAACCTGGAAATCTCATTGTAAGGGTTTCCTGGGTGTCAGACGAGTCTTTGCCTCAGCCTCTCATGCTACTCTCTCTCTCTCTCTGTTTTTGGATGCAGGGTCTCTGTTTCTGTCTTTATGAGAGGTTCCTGGTTTGACTCAAGCAACAGATTGATTCACTTTCCCATGATGAATTGTGTATATCAGGTAGGTGTTATGTAGCTGTCCTTCAGTGGATTCTTTCTTGGTCCAGATGAGAATGACCCAGTGTCCAGGGACCACTTGTAAGTTCTGCCTTTCTTCTGCTCCTCCCAGACCTCCCCTGGAGGGAGAGGAGGAAGGGCTATGCAAATGAACACCCCTTTCTTATATAGGGGCTTGTCCCAACCTCTCAGTGCCTTTGGTTGCTGGAAGGGAGACAGGATGGATTCCTTAAAATGCCTTCTCCATGTGGCTGTGATGGGTGCTCTTCTGGCTGTGGGGGCCACAGAAGGTGAGTGTGGGGTGTATGGATATGAATAAGTGTACATTTGGGGTTGCACACAAGCTCTAGTTTCCCCCCTCCTAATGGGAGATACCAGCAACATTTCAGGCTTCTCCCACCCATTTGATTTAGTGAGGATAAGGCACTTGAACTCCCTCTCCGCACAGAGATTTGGGACTGAATCTGAAAATAATCCCATCTACTTGGAAGGGCAAGAGGATGGTGGGTCTTTGTGGCGGTAATTCTGAGGCCCCCTGGGCAGTGAGCTGGAGCAGGGACTCCAAGGGGGTGGAATGAATGGGAGGTTCTTTTAGGCCATGGCTCAGGCACTTGGGATAGGGAATTTAAAGTGAGGAGTAAGCCCGGCAGGTGTGGCTCAATGTGCCAAACCCATGTCCCAAAGGGTCACTAGTTTGATTCCCAATCAGGGCACATGCCCAGGTTGTGGGCCCGATCCCCAGTGGGGGGCATGCAGAAGGTAGCCAATCATTGTTCTCTCTCATTGATGTTTCTATCTCTCTCCCTATCTCTCTAAAATCAATAAAGAAAAAATATTTATTAAAAACAAAATAAAATAAAGTGAGGAGTAAGAGAATGTAGTATTGGATAAAAAGGGTAAGAAGGAACCACCAACCCTCATTAGGGTGGGGATGGGTGAACACAGCCCAGGCTTTTGTCCTAGGGCTGAAAAAGACAGGCTGAGGGGTCTCAGCTGAGCATCACATGAAAGGGCTCTGGGGGATTGGGGCCTCGTGACAGGAGCAAGGGGTGGGGGTGAGGAGTGGTGAGAGGATCTGGAATGTCCCGTGCTGCTCTGAGGGAGGGTTGGGAGTGGAGAGAGTGGAGCATCTTATGATTCTCTTGCTTTAATGGTGGGATGCTCAATGAAGATTCCAGATCTTTCCCCAGCAGAATCAGCTAGGTTGCCAGTACAAATTAGAAATGGAATGAGAATAGTTTTCTGCTGTGCTGAAGTATATACATCATATCTCATTTTTCTATTTATCACAGACTTCAAGAAAATTCTTCTTGATCTAACTTTCCTCATTCATGCTGCTGTTTTAAGTCTTTTTCTTTTACTGTGCCAACCTGAGGCTCTTAAAAGACTGTGCTTATTTTTGGGGTCATATATATATATATATATATATATATATATATATCATAAGAAGCCATTTTTAGATATTAATGAAATTTTATATGGACTGGGTTTGATAATTTTGTCTAGTGTGAAATAATGCTTACTCAATGAAATATTCTTTTTTTTTTTTAAATCCTCACCTGAGGACATTTTTTTCCATTTTTTGTTCAGATAGAGTGGGAGGTAGAGAGAGGAACAGAGAGAGAAAGAGAAACATTGATGTGAAAGGGACACATCGAGTGGCTGCCACCCGCACGACCAACCAGGGCCAGGGACAAACTGCAACCGAGGTACGTGCCCTTAGTAGGAACCAAACCTGGGTCTCTCTAGACTGCAGGCTGATACTCTAACTGCTGAACCAAACGGGCCAGGGCAAAAATATTCATTTTTTAAACAGATACATACTGAATTTGTAGGGTTAAAATAACAAGATGTCTGGGATTAGCTTTTAAAGACTTGAACTAAAAACAAACAGGAGACTTGACTTGGGTTGGTGAACAAACAATACAATATACAGATGATGTATTATAGAACTGTATACCTGAAACCTATATTATGTTATTAACCAATGTCACCCCAATAAATTCAATAAAAATAAAACTACAACAGCAAAAACAAATAACAATAACAAAGCATAGGAAAAGCAAATGTGGCAAATGTGATAGTTGTGGGATCTGGATGAGGCATATAGAGATCCATCATATCTCTTTTTCTCAGACCACTCTCAGTTGGTTGCAGTTATTTTGTCTGTTCTGTCCCCAACCCCAACCTTTGCCTACCTCTGATCCATCTTCCTCACTATTTGCCAGTTATCCTTTTAAAACACAAATCTGATCATATTAAAAAAGATTCTGAAGGGTGAATTTTATGTATGTGAATTATAGCTCAATAAAACAAACAAAATCTTCTGAGATGGTCTTGCCTACAGGGTAAAGGCCAAACTACTTCACCTGATACTCAAAGCCCCCAAACCAGCCTTTTGGCCTCATCCCTCACAGTGTGCATCAGCCACATTGCTAGTAGTTTCCTATCATGCCATGTGCTTCCATGCTTTCATGCATGCATCAGCTAATGCTGGGCCTTCTGCCTGGAGTGCTTCATAATACAGGCCAACTCCTCATTGAAGTCTTTCCTAATCTGCCAGAGTGGAACTACAGTAATATGTTTACTCTGCCGTTTTGTTGCACTTCATGCTTGTCTGCTATGACTCATATTAAACAGTGCCTTGAATTATAGTAATTTATATGTTTATTTGTGTTTTATTTTATTTTTTATTAGTTTTTAGAGAGAGAGGAAGGGAGAGGGAGAGAGATAGAAACATCAATGAGAGAGAACATTGATTGGCCGCCTCCTGCATGCTCCCCACTGGGGATTTGGCCCACAACCTGAGCATGTGCCCTGACCGGGAATCGAACCAGCAACCTCTTGGTGCATGAGTCAATGCTCAACCAGTGAGCCACACCAGCCAGGCTATGTTTGTTTATTATAGTTTACTGTGAACCACTTCAGGACCACATCTTATTAATTCCTTAAGTCCTTTGTACCTAGTATAGTGCCTGGTACATAGTGGGTATTCAGTATATTAAAATGCACTTTGAATGATAGAATGAGTGGGGCAACATAGGATAGTATTAACCCCTGAGAAGGGACTGAGTGAGGTTGCTAGGGCGCTCATGGTACCTTCCTTTTAGGATCCAGAGACCAGGACTGGCTTGATGTCTCAAGGCAGCTCAGAATGAAAGCCTGGAACAGGCAGCTCTATCCAGAGTGGACCGAAATCCAGGGGCCAAACTGCTGGAGAGGTGGGAACTTGGCAAATTCTGGGGAGAGCATGGTGGGAATATGGTAGGGAGAGGAGCAAGAACTGGGTTAAATGTAGTTTGGGAAGAGAAGAAGGGGAAAGGTATATGGGGAGAGGAAGCCAAGAAGATTCAACTAATGCAACTGCCCTTTTCAGGTGGCCAGGTGACCCTGAAGGTCAGTAATGATGGGCCTACGCTGGTTGGAGCAAATGTCTCCTTCTCTATTTCCCTGCACTTCCCTGAAAGCCAAAAGGTGCTGCCAGATGGGCAGGTCATCTGGGCCAATGACACCATCGTCAATGGTGAGTACCTCTTTCTTCTAGGCCCTCATTCCTAGGGCTCAGATTCCCTGGTATCTCCAAGGAGCTCAGGGAATGCTCCCTTCCCTCTCTACTTTATTTTAAAACAAAGTATATATGTAATACATATTAATTGTCGAAAAATTAAATACAAATATATAAAATGGAAAAAATTATAGTCCCCAAAATGGGGGACAAAAGATCCAGTGGACCTAGAAGTTGGATGGACTTAGATTTAAACTTGTTACTAGTATGTGACCCTGGGAAAATTGTTTTGTGCTTCCATTCCCTTATCCGTAGAATGGAGATGATGCCTACCACGAAAGGTTGTTGTAAGGACTAAAATGTGATAATATATAAAGAATTTATTTTTATTTTTAATTTATTTTTATCCTCACCCAAGGACATTTTTGCATTTATCTTCAGATAGAGCAGGAGGGAGAGAGGGAGGAAGAGAGACAAACATGCATTTGAGAGAGACACATCGACTGGTTGCCACCCACATGACCTCAAATGGGGCTGGGGATGTACTGCAACCGAGGTATATGCCCTTAGTGGGAACTGAACCCTGGACTCTGGTCTGTGGGCCGAGGCTCTAAGCACTGAGCAAACCAGCCAGGGCAGTATATATATATATAATTTAGCAAAAGCCTACAGTAAAGGCTCAGTAAATGTTAGCTGGTGCTGTTATTTTTTAACTTTAACCCACTAGATAGAGCAAATCTCTCTAAACATCTTGATATATGGCCTTCCAATCTTTTTCCTATGTAAGTATATACATATGAATCTTTAATTGTAGTTTCCATTCTTCCTGCTACCACCCCAAATGGATTATACCAAGGGGAGTATACTTTGCAACTAGGGAGTATTCTCAAAGCCCCTCTCTGAGAGCCATGTTAGAGGTTTTGGTGTATAGAAAGGAATGCCAGG